GCGTTCGACACGGATTAACATACAACATATATCTAAGATACTTCAAATGCGTTGGGAATACTTTTGCATAATAATGAACAAATCAAACCAGTTAACGTAACCACTTCCAATCGAAACCGCATTTCGGAATTTAAGTCATTTATGTCAGCGGGGGTTGTCTATTCTGGCGGTAAGTTTTGAAATTATGCTAACGGATATGTTTGTTCCTGCAGCCCCACTTTATTGATAGAATATTGTTATCCTACTAAAACAATATCCAGTAACATGCTACAGTAGGTGGGTCCACTCATGAAATGTCAATAAAAATTTCGAAATTCGTTCTCGTTTCGAAAGATTAATTAAATAGGGTTTGAAAACGGATTTGCATGCAGTATAATTCAATACCGATCCAGTTATCGCAGGGTGTCGGCTTTCGAATGACCTTCTCTTCGACTGCATGCAAGAACTGTACTATGCCAAAAACGACTACTAAAGTAGGAGGAAATGTTCCCATTGATTTTCGATGCCTTTGCAAACTTCAATTATATTTCATAGAAAACATGCATAAAAGATATTCACTCTTTTACTAATTCGGTATAAAATCACGTCGTCTTCCAATTTTACAGTTTAAATAAAAGTATAATTTGGTTTAAATAAACTTTTCTTATTCCCGGATAATTCTGAACCCGATCTGCTCCTACACTTGCATTCAGGGTTTCAAAATCACAAGCCGTATATTTCCAGCGTACGGAAAACCACTCATTCCTCTACGGTAGTAAGAGGAGACTATATGGGGTTCACAAGATTAAACAGTGTATTTGAGCAATGTTGTCAACTTTACAAGCCACGTTCGTAAAAGCTGATACATGACGTTTTAGGAACGGCCATTTCACGGAATTAAAAAATCTCACAATTTTAAAAACTTTGGAGATTAAATTATACTACTCTTCCGAGTATAACATTGAAAGAAGACGTGATTGTATATGGACTAATTAAAAGAATGAATGTTTTTATGCATGTTTACAAGATATATAATTGAGCTGTCAAGGGTATCGGAAAATTGCATGATACATACGTAGTCCTTTTTTGCAGAGTAAAGTTCTTGCATGCAGTCGAAAAGAAAGTCATTATAAGGCCGACACCCTAAGGTAACTGGTTCATTATGGAATTATGCTGCACAAGAATCGGTTTTACAACCTTACGTCATTAATTTTTTTCGAAATCAGAACGCAATTTGAAATTTCGGTTGAAAGTTCATGATTTACGCCGCCTACTGTACTTTAGGATAAGTAGGGGAAATGGCGCGCAAACAGAGCCCGAAGCGGGCCCAAGAAAGAACGTGAAGATGAGGTACACAAATTAACCCGCGATACAGCCACTCGCTGGATTAGTAGGATAAGAAGGGGACAATCTCAAATGGATGGCCACGGGGGAGACCTCGTGGTAATTCATAGTCCATGGTTATTGTGGTGGAACCAATGGAGTTGTAGTCTGTCCAAACAATTCCATTAGCACGCCTACTCAGCCACTCGCTGGATCAGTATAGTAAATAGGGCACAAATAGGAGCGAGACACAGCTTTTAGGCTGTCGTAGTAAGTCACGTATGAGGTAATGCCAGCACGCTTTTTGAATTGCCTGAATAAATCAAAGGCGAGTGAAAATCAAAGCATAATTGAAGGAATCAAATGCCATTCAAACGTGCGCTAATGGCTTTAGAACTTGCAACGTCATTCGAGGGAGCACTTATAATCGCATCCTACACGTCATTCTCGCGGGCTTTTCGTTTGATGCGCGTTTATTTTCTGATCCCAGTTAACGTTAAATTTTCCTTAGTTGTTCATCAGTCGGCATACGTTACTCGGATTTTCCTGATTTGATTCATATTCATCTTCCGAACTTAAAATATCTGGCCTGGATTTTTGCAGGCATTCGGTATTGAATTAATCCTTAAACTGGTATTATGGCGCGGTTGAAATATCCTGGAATTGTGTTGAATGCCAACAACTAGTACAAACCAATCTCAGTAATCCGTCCTAACCCACAACACATTTCTGAATTTTGTTCAGCATTTTACGAGATAGTCCAAATAATGCGCCTCTTATATCTAAGTGGACAAAAGATGCTAGGATTTAACTTTCAAAATTATGTGGCGGCATTTTATCGGCAAAAGGCAGGAGATGGTAGGTTGGTTTCGCACATGTTCTAAAAACGCAGTATAAATATTACCTTTATGATAGTAGATTACATTTTGGACGAAGTGCGCACAGAAATCTCTCGTCCAATTTAACCGTCATCATATATTATGGAAGTAGATTGAATTGGTAGATACTAGTTAGACGTATACATTTTATACTTTGCTGCGTAATCGAGACTCTAACAGCAGCGTGCAACACTTTGATCGACTAAAATGTTTAAGGCCATTTGCAAAAGAAGTAGACTAAAGTTCTCAATTCGTTGTTTTAAAGCATTACGAATGTCGTCAATTATATCACGATCACATCATACTATCAAGAGTAAACGCGGTTAAGTGCGTTTAATCTTTATGGACACCTAACCGACAAGTATGTTGCTGCAGCTGCTAAAACTATACTTCCGCATTTTAGAGTACTGTGGTAAAAAGTGTAATAACTCGTTAGTAGATTTGTGGCAGATTTTGAATACGTCACATTTCCTTAACTGTAAAGAACTCGTTAAGAGCAAATATAATAGAACATGCACACTGAATCGCGAAAGGATACTGATAGTTAGAGGTCAGAACGTTGTAAACTTTGCTCAGGACAAAGTTACGTGAATAGATGTTAGTGGCTGAGATGCATGTTGATGTTCTGTAACGGGAGCTATTTCGATCTCAGCTAGAAGGTATCCTTCCATTATGTGCATGCTTAATGCGAGCTAACAGAAGTAATGCTCGATTTTCTGATGAACATGAGCCGTGCCTATTATTTTAAAGTTCCAGTCAGAATTTTTTTCATACCGTGCGGTACTTTTTTATTGCTATTTTGATTCCTGGACAGTTTTTGTCTGCTAAGGAAATCAAATTGACCATGTATTACGTAGAGCGCTATATTCCTAAATATTGCAGTGGCTTCCAGTTGGCCAGAGATAGCAATTGGATGCCAAATGCATACACTTGGAAGATGTCAGATGTAAAAGCATGCAGGGAATCGGAGTTAACCATGAATTCATTATGGAAATCGAAGGAGCTGTAGGTACTGCCACCAAACTTGACTTTGCTGTCAGTTCTCAATGTTGATCATATGCTCATGGCAGAGAGGAGTGGTAGAAGGGGTGATTACCGAGTGATCACCTGACTTGCACGGATGGGTGTCTTTTGCTCACCTCCTGAACTGCTGTCATAGGATTCACGCGTTCCAGCAGTTGCATTGTCTGCTCACCGTTAGATTGGCCGGCCTGATATGATCGACGGACGAACAACCACACGCGCGCTTATGAATTACACAGTCCACCGACTACAAATATGCATTAGGTAATGAATAAGCGCCCGACAACGAAGAAACCTGGATCTTAAAAGTTGCAGTCCGCGCAAACAGAACCTGAATCATAAAGAAAAAACTGTCACACTTGTTGCTGCCCCTTTATCCTAGACTGAGTCCACTCACCCGGCAGGCAAGACAGCCAGGACGTGCTAGTGACAAAAACAGCCAGCGGCGCCGATTGCTGGATGGATCGCCGCCCCGCCATTCCCTCAACGAAACGACGGATCTAACCCAAGGGGCGACTACAAGAAACACAAACACTAGTTGTTTAAAATCAACTTCGTTGAATGTGCTTGATTACCGACCACATTTCTGCAACCAACCCACTCACTGCCTGGAGGAGTTGTAGCAACCGCAAAAGTAATGTCACTGTTGGAAATAATAGTACCACATAAGCTCTACTATAAGTCTTACTGCCCTGGATGTCCCTGGTCGTTCAAACCATCGAAATAAGGATTGGTCTGAGGACAACAATAAAGTTCGCAATCTGCTTCGCTAATAGAGCAGGTGCAACACAGCCTACACCGACAGCGCGAATGACGCCAGCAGACCGACCTCCTTCGGATTGCTACGATTTTGCAGCGCGAGTGTGAGAGTGACAGAAAATGTAGATTATTTGCAAGCCATAAAGGGTACGTGGGTACGCCGAGCTCGACGACATATCCAGTTTGTTTGACTCGATCAAAACGATCCACAGCCCAAATACCAAGAGTGCGACATCACTAACCTTCCTGGATTGAACAGTAGTCTTTGGAAACAGACAGTCTCTAAAACGCTTGTGAAGTACGGGTAAGTGTCAGGTAAGTGTTATAAAAGTATAGAATATGTGCCCTACGTGACTAAGTCTAGGGTAACTATTTCCTGTAGAAAATAATTCCCGAGACAGAAATCGTACATTCGATCATGACAGCTGCATAATAGTCTATATATGACCTATTGGGAGGCGGTGTTTTTAACGACTCGAACTTTTTCTTTCACCTTATTCATAATTCAACATATGTGTTTCAATATACAAACAACTCAATAAAATCGGATGGGGACCTCCAGACCTATAAACTTCTGCTCACATATATCAGCCACCCGATTACATTTGCACACACAGTGCCCAGTGTTAAACTTTGTGTTTTCCAGTCATCCCACTCTGTAGATATGATGAGCCCATCTACGCATATCATGTGATAAAACCGCCTTGCACAATGCTAATGTGATCGCGTGTCGTCGGTAAGCAAACAACTTGGTGTATCCTAAGCGTCTTAGGAAGTAACACACGGGGAATATCCGTGTGCTCTGCTTGCCGACTGCTGCCGATTGCTGTAAACGTCTGGCGTCACCTAAAGCGCAAAGGGGATTGCTTGTTTACCTTACACTGCACTGCAATTTCTAAGCAGGGATCGGCTTGACAAAAGGAATATCTGGCGCCGAGATATTGCTGTAAGCCAATGAGGCTGCAATTTAGCTGACGAAAATGCGTTCCTTCCTAGTATAAAAATGCGTACAGTGTGCAAAACGTTTGTCCCGGGAAAATGCAGACAACCATTTTCCTCTTCTATTTGGCAGCGACTTTTTCTCTCGTCCGTGTTAGGTATGTGCATGTCTAATGCGTTTCATAAGATTTGTCTAGGCGATGATGACCAAACATCTTTTCTTTGTAATTTTGCGGAATATCTAGCTAGCAGTCAGATTTCGGTATTAATTTTGATGTCCTCAATCGTAAAAATGATTGTTTAAATATCATAAGTAAGTTTAGGCGAACCACATGAAGGTAATCCGACTACGACGTGCGGAACCTCACATGCAGTGAAGAATTGTGACACATGTTGCTCTTACCCCAGTTGCCTGCAAGTTTCTGAATACCTCTTTAACAACTCTGAACTGCAGTAAATATTTCCAAACTAAAACGCCGACTGTTAATATTTTTTTGGACTAATACACGTCCAGTATGAGCGTACTTCTAAAACTCTCCCAGTCCATCTATACGAAAATTGCACTGGCTTACAAAACCCAAACGAGCAACATAAATCGACATCCATGCCGGAAGCACATTCCCTGAAAACATAATAATTTGACAAGCAACTGCTGTTTAATTTCAATCTTAATATGATGACGGTCTTTTGTATGCTCCACCAGTGTATTCTGTGAATAGGACACAATCGCAAGCATCAGAGAGGAGTTTACATTGTCCGCAGAGGCATCTAGAAAACCGGGTGCGAATGGCGTTTGATAAAGGGGAGCGTATTTGTATTACGGTCATTTCAATGATGAAATTGGTGAAATAGTGAAAATGGATGTATGATAAGCGTACTATAGTACCAACGTTGTCTTTTAGTCGTGGGACCAAATTGTGTACTTGGAGTCAACGGCTCATTCCGAAGAATGCCACTGGAGACATTACACTGGAGGTGCCAATATCGTACAGTTATAAGGTGTGTCAACCCTTAAGAATACATCTATGTATTTTAAATTATCGCGGCACATCTCTGTTAATGCAAGATGCATGTAATACTATCCACAGTAGTTTGGATAGCAATTTAATAAAGTCTGCTTGCATATTTTAAAGACAGGATATATCGGAAGTGAACCATTTTGGACATACGCTTGGGAAAAGGGATGGTGTTCGTACAGTAAAGGCTACTTCCGATGTCCTTACACTGCACGTACGATTCTTTTGCATCTTTAAATTCTGCAAGTAATTTTACATGTTTGAAAATGCCTTAAAGTATATCAACACATATATTTCAAAAATACTTTCCTTTTTTTTTCAAATTTTTGGACCGTACGCATATACTCCGCAAACGTCGTGATGCCCTGCATTAAAATACGAAATCTCTGTTTTCGCAATTCCATTCAAGATGACGATTATTATTCAACGACTCTAACTCTGCCGAATGCTGAGAAAATCTCCTACGTCATGCTAGAAAGTGAATATCCGATTACAATTCACAAAATCGAGGATGAGAGCATCCGTATGTTTACCTATGCCACCGCTTGACGAAGCCGTTCTTTCATACAAACTCCGCAACTTTTGCCAGTACGGCAAAAAATCAGTTGGCCTTAATTTCTAATTGAAATATTCAATTTTAGCTGGCTTCTATGTGAAAAAAGGCACAAAGCTGGATATTTGCACAGATAAAAGTGAACTTGAATTGGAATTTCTTCTTAATGGCAAAGAATCGGACCTACAAGATGTGAGACCTGCTTAAATTTCCTCTGCTATCGATAATCAAAATACAGATAAAAATATTCATGTAATTTTGTTTGTATTTGAAGGTAAGCTGCTACGTTGGTAAAAAGTTAGGATGCTCGGGATTGCGACAAATGTACACACACAGAGATGGAAGATGCCGTAGGTGACCTATCCGCCGGCTGTTCTTTATTCTTTATACATAAATAGATTATACATAAAATTTATCACTATTTTAATTTCCGTAACTCAACACTGGCCATTCGTGCACATCCACTGGCATTGAAAGTGCGGCGGTCATGTCAGATGGATCATAAAAATTTGACTTCTTTAAGAAATTATTTCGATAAAACTTCATGCATGGTTATGTATGACTAATGGATGGCGAAGATGAACGACCCAAATAATTTGGGCCATTAAAACAAGTATGACCTGTTAGCGAATGGAGTAGTACGGCACATTCATGTACCTTCACAATTCTGAGGACTTTGTTTTACCATTGGCATCCGCCTCACAGTGTTGATTTATCTAAATGAGACGACGGGGCAGTCATCTGATGGATTCCAGGTGAATAACTTAGGAAATCCTGCTTAAGCAGTCAATTTACTGTATCTGATTTGGTAGATTACCGACATTGCAGTAGGTTGGCGGGTCACTTGACCCAAGTATGATCAAATTCCCGTTGTCCGGCGGCGACTCGCAGCTCAAGTGGTTGGAGCGCTGGCTATACTCAAGTCTTCTCCTTACTGTGTGTGTTCAAATACCACCGAGACACCGAAGTTTTCACAGTCTGGTCGATATGAATTTGATATTGAAATAATTTTCCTGTTACACGTCTCTGCTGACAGCTTTTCTTGTAATAATGCATTCACCAATTCAACAAACATGTTTGCACCGGGCTAATCCGGCTTTACCAACCTCTTCTATTATTCCACGTAAATCACCCCTGTTTTGTTGTCACGCCAAAAAACTAATATCTAATATTTTTTCCTTCGGTAATTATTTAGGGTACAGCATGAAGCAGGGCCGTTTGGAGATGCGTATTACATTGCAAAACAAGGATGAAACAATTAGTTTCTTCTACTGCTACGCAAACAAGGAAAAAACCACGGCACTGACCTATATTATTGACTGGAGAGGTTGGTTTTCGACATCGATGCATTTTCTGTCCTATGGAAGGGCCTTTTGAATATTCGGAATGCAAGTGTTAGCTATAAGCTATGAACTATTGTGCAAGGAGTGTGCTAGGGACGAGTAGGTGTAAAATATTGAAATATTTATCACGAGGCAGATTTGAACTGACTAGGATTACACGGCGGCGGTCTTGCGGCAATTCGTGTAGTGCAGATAATTTCACGCAATAAAGGTGACAAATGAAAATTAGTCACTTAAACGTGAGTTGCAATACTGTAGTATGCAACACAACGGGAAGATGATTTCAAATGCTATCTTCAAGGTTTCGTCGTTAATAAATGCAAGTAGACATTAAAATAAGCTTTACCCAAACATTGTCTGTTCGCCAAATACGGTAATTTGCACAAATAGCCTCCGTTTAATGTTACGTTTCAAACAATAATGATTTTTATACTGCAGGTTCTCCTAAAACTACGCCCACTCCAGTCACCACTGCGGACATAGTGCAGGAAATAAATACAACGGTGGCTACGAGTTTAATGGGTATGCCAGGGCTAAAAAGCCATTTCAATGCTCTTCTTCTTGCAGAAAATATCGAAAATTGATAGTTATTCTGGATGAGCAACAGTTCTACCGTTTTTACCTTCCTCCAACATTCTATTATTTGGCCACTTTCTCACACGATAAATGCACGTGGGTTTTTTCGTGCATTTTGTCTCTAAGCAGATATGCAGGTGTCTAGGAAATTGTTTAGCGAGAGTGGCAAGAAATGTCGAATAAACAAATACTCCTGTACGAGTCTTAAATGACTTGCCTAAATATGAATATTGAACTGAATATTCACAGATAGAGGTCTACGTAAAAATAAATGGGATAGTGGGTGCCCAATCAAAATGAAATTTTCAGTGATAGGACTGGGATGCAACGATTTACGATTTTGCGCACACACCTTCTACCTCGTGCTGTGATAATTGGTGTGCTCCATTGTAATACTTATTTCCATATTATAGTTTCTCTTGAAACTACACCCAGTCAATTCACCACCACGAACATGTGGCATGATACAGCCAATTCCGGGGCTGCAAGTTTAATAGGTATGTTAAAACTAGATAGCCATTTCAATACTGCTTTGTCCCAAAAATGTTGGCGCTGCTTTTGTTTTAACAAGGTGTCTCAGAAAAAAAACTTGCTACTCTGAGGGTCAATAAACTTTCCGTTCTTTTATCCTTTAACTCTCTATTTTGTGTATGGAATAGCGGATGGCAAGTCTTTTTGCGTTATATACTCCAAGGCTTTACACATTGAAGACCAATACAAAATGACTGTAAAGCATTAACGCTTTATCTGTGACATATTTTTGAAATTAACGTTCATCTTATTTGTCATTTTAGATGTAGCAGGCGTCATTTTGTTTAACCTCTGTTTGTTCTTGTTATGAAATTTGCTTTACGGGTGTTGGGTACCAATCACGAACTGAAGTGAGGTCGCCAAAAAAATGTGTGCTCTTGTTCTACATTTCATTCATGCATTGTGCCCTTTACAAACAAACATTCAAACAATTAAATAAATATTGGAAATGATACATACATGTTAGCTTTTAATGAATTTCATTTTTAATCATCTGCCAGAGTGAGTTCTGGATACGGTGGTAATGATGTAAATGCCTAACTGTTCACGCGGATCCTAATGATCAAGTTTACTATACAGAAGCCTTGGGTTACCTGGAATATAGGGTAATGCAGCAAAACATTGGAAATTCAAATGGGCACTAAGGTCTCGTTGAATGAGTTTCCACAAATATATTCTGTGTCTACTAGCATGTACATTGAATTGGTTGAGGTGACAAAGGTTCTCCTAATGAAGACGTGAATGCACATGTACTGTCACAGAGCAAATGCGAGACACCATAGGTCTCCGGTTAAAGACTTATTATGACGACACGCGCAGTTTTCGTTTGTTCGTGAAAAATCCTTCTTAAACCATTCACATATAGAAGGGAATGCGCATTTGTGGAACTTTGTGTGTCCCTCATGCGCACAACTTATATTCTGACAAAACATCAATGAAGAATCGATTGATCCACTGGACCTTTTAACCCCTTTACCGAGTCTAACAGACTGACTGTCTTGGGTCAAGTATCTATCAGTCCACTTTCCATCGGGATAAGTATGACGAAAATAATATTTGGCGAGTTATTACTGCTCAAATTACGTCCCCATTTGTGAAAGTAATTTACCTACTGCTGCTAATGAAGTGGCAACCCCTGTGCACATTCATGAGTGCGGTTGGCTACGATAAGACACTTACCTCCGACGAAGGAAGCTTGATATCTTGCGTAGTTGCTTCTATTTACCTACAGATACACATATCCAGAAGATACGCACACAGTATACCTTGTGAATTACGTTTGATAGAAAACTGAGTCTTCTTCAAATTTTGTGCTAGGCGATTGAATATTTTGCTGCATACATGACCTCACAGTGTTAGTAAACGAGGAGAAAGTTGATGACAAGCAGAATATAGCGGGTAAGGTGTGCCAAGTGATGTACCATTTTGGCGAATGAGCAAGTAAACATAGTGGTATTATAAACGCAAAGGCCCACAAGAGTGGCTTCCAGGATATAATGGCGAATGCTACCATCTAACGCCTTTGCATTTTCTCGATCTCAATCAACTGATAGCAGGACCTTAACAGATGATGGAATAGCGTATGACTCCTGCTTCTATTGTTACGCTTTGCCTGCCTTTCTTTCATTCATGCAGTTGAAAAGGCAGGCTGTCATATCCTTATATGATCTTACGCACTTTCAGATTATGACTTTGTGCAGATCCTGGATACTTGTGTCCATGTCCTGACGTTTGGAAGTCCATAAGGAGATTTTAATGACGATTTTGTCGATGACTATTAACTGCCGTGGCAAAACAACTAATTCGCATTCCATAAGCAGGTAGTATTGATAGTTGTGAGAGTATTATATGACAATGTTTGTGGCGCATTCCTCACACGATTACCAGCGAAAATCCAATACAGGGTTTGTCGAATGCTCAGTTTGTGGTTCATGTATTTTAAAGTCGTGTTTGGGGTTTATAAAACAGAAGTCGCGAACGCAGTTCTTGGAGACTAACCAATAGTCGCTTATCAAAACACATATGCGAACTCCTCTAACGTCGTTGAGGCAGGGCATTATTAAATCTTAAACAGCTTATTCTCGACCTTGTTGCTGATTGGCAGCATGGTGTGGACGACAACTTATAAATGTGTCTGAAATGCCAAATGTACTATATATATATATATACTATTGTATTTCTGCTAGATTTTAAAACATAGAAATAACGAGTGTGTTAAAATTAACTGAAATCATCGATGCGACTGGGAAAGTTCGTCAATGGCCCAGTACCCAAACATTGTTCAGATGCTTTGAAACGTTCAAACACTTGCCTACTTCCTCGTCAAATACACATGACATGGCAAAAAGCAATGATCATTGACGACATCCTTTATACCAGTTGGCTAAGAAAAGTTCCTGAAGGACTTTCCCTTCGCCCACTCTGGCAGCAGGCAGGCTGCAATAACCTCCCGTCTGTCGGCATAGCCTGAATACACCTGTCATTTAGAACCTACATTATTTCTCTCGAATGACTGTCTTGCACGAAGGGATAGGTGAGCCGGAAATCCCTTTTGCTTCCGAAGATCAAAGACCTTCGTAGATATGTCATTGGATGCATGATATTATAGAAGGCCAGTCAATTTGAGTGTCGACATTAACGCCAGAGACAGCAAGTAGATGAATAAGCACTAACGTATTACTGCATTCGTTAGAGCTGTTCACAGTTATGGGGTTAAACATTCCATAATCAGTATGTGATCTAGATGCAATCGGCTACGATACACGATAACAAGGGTTGGGAGACTGGTACGTGAATATTCCTCGCAAATACATCAAGTGCCCTATCAGCGGAACCAATATTTGCCCGTGCACCCTGTGTCTCTGACGGATTTCCGACGTAGGCGATAGTAATGTTTACCTAAAATATACACATTCACGCTCAAACTGACAATCTCATACTGCTCTTCTTCTAATGCGTGCGTAATAAGAAGTCTGCCGTGGTCATTTGTATTTAGTACTGCTTCCAGATGTTTGTAAATACCGACTGAATATGAAATCATTGAAGGGTGGCACACAAAGAATCTCGCAACTCTTGCCAATTTTGAATCATACCTGAAATATGTTATCGTATATTTTTAAAATAATTACATCTGTTTGCGTTCAGGCCGTTCTCTTTGTTTGCAATATTGTCTGTCGGAATATTGTTGAAGCAAATTAAGTAACTTTGGTAAATACTATGTTTAAACGGATCAAGGGCATCATTATTAAACAAATGACACTTCCGCTTTCCTCAAATCTTTCTCATCGTTCAAATGCCATTCTCTAAAATTATCTTTCTATCTCATATCAGTTATCTAATGCCATATCTCCAAAGGTCTTTCATCCTCAAGTACAAGTTGTAAACAAAGGATAACCGATCAGACCTGGGAGTGCAGACTTCTTTAACCCAGGTTCTTGGGCAAGAGAGAATGCAGGCTTCCCTGCCAGCACATGGCCCCTTCATAGGTGGGGCTGGAAGGGGCTGGGTGGGGCCAGGGCCCCGCCTGCCAGCACATGGCTCCTTCATAGGCGGAGCTGGAAGGGGCTGGGTGGGGCCAGAGCCCCCTCTGCATTGAAGCATTTTTAAGCTTATTTGCATCGAAAGATATGTTTCAAAAGCACCACTAAATGTACCTTCTTTGGAATTAAAAGGAGATAATTTATCAAAATTGGCTTATAAATCATGGAGAAAGCATCCGTTTACGCCCACTGAATGTAGCTGCGGATGGGCACAATATATTGAGGTTTTGTTTAAGTTCCTCATTGCATAAACTCTTATTTGTCCACCGGTTTACAATCTGTGTGTGTTATTAATTCGTATATTTGACAATCGGGACGATATTTTAAAGTGGTGCCAAAAGTGGGCGGGGATGTGGCCTCCCCTGCGCATTTTTTTCGCTGGCGGGGCCAGGCGGGGCTATCGCGTTGCATGCCCCGCCACAGCCCCCTCCACAGCCCCGCCTAGCCCCCTCATGGCCCCCTCTAGCTCCGCCATTATTGAGGGGGCCAGGCGGGGCTAGGCGGGGCTGGTGCTGGCAGGGTTACCACACTCTAATTGTACATCTTATGTGCAGAGGACCGACAATTTTAAAGTGTTGGGAAATTTTCAGTTGAGAAAGCATTTGGAATGCAGAAATAAGATTGGTAATAGGCCTGCAATTATGGGCCTTTTAAAAGTAATTTACTAGTGACTACTGAGGACAGCCTTAATACTGTGTCTCCATCTGTCTCTTTGTTCACGCCATTTCTACCTCATGCTGCCATTTCATACTTTATTTTTCCAGATGTATAGAAGAGCATTGATGCGAGTGTCTGAAATTGGATTATCTGGTAGTTGTTTTGTCAGGGTCTAGAACTGCCTGAAAAGCTCTACCACATTTGAAAAAAAACTGATCTTTGTTTTTGAGTCCAACATCGGGTTCGCGATTGCACCGTATTGGCATACTGGGAAAGGTATCCAAGTTCCTTTTAATCAGTTGGAGAAAGCCTTCGGCTTTAGCAACAGCGAAATTGAACAGTCTCGTCATCGTTTGTTTTCCCTGCTCACCATTTCACCGTCGATTCATATTTGTGAGCCTAACAAAGCGTTCGCGATTGCACCGTATGCGCCATCTGTAAAAGGCATCAGGATCCCTCTTGGGTAGTTGAAAAATGTCTCGCGTTTGGCATGGGAGATAGGGAGTCGTCTCGTCATATTTTGTTATGCAAGATACAAAGAGGATCACCTATTCAAGAATTTTACGATTGGATAGTTTACCAGTCGTTTTTCCAGTGTCGATCGCAGCTGTAAAATTGTCATGGTTCCAGACAAAAGCTACTGTCCCCGGCTTATGGAAACAACTACGGGAGTGCGACTATACACGTCGATATTCCTGGGAAATTAGCCAAGTGCACTATCTGCTGAAATAATTTGCGCCTTTATCCCGCATATATCTGACGGATGTATCATAGGCGTGTTGGCAATGTTTGCTTAAAATGTTCAAATTCACATTCAGCCGCGATTAAGTGTGTTGAATAACAATCATACCCATCATTCAATATCAATCTAATTTATAAGTCGTTGGTTAGTAGGGGTCTAATGTGTTCGGGCGCACTAACTGCAAATGCTAGATGCTAAAACGTACCTACGGAACGTGAAATCATTAAAGATAAGCATGTTCTCACGGAAAGAAAATGGAAACTACTGCTGATTTTGAAATCTACCCGACGTATCTTCACCCACATTTTTAAAATATTTACATGTTCTCAGTTCCGGTAACACTCTCTTTCAAACTGCTTTGTCCTAAAACAT